GAGGTCCCTTCCAGCCTAGGCCAGTCCATGACTCTATGATTTTAAAAAAGAATACTGCACCCAGCAGTAACGCAGCTCTCAAAGCCGTGCTGCACGAGCAGCCCGAGCTGAGCAGCACCGCCCCAAGACGGACGCTGCCCGCACGGCGTGGGGCAGCCAGGCCAGCGCTCTGTCTCTGCAGACCACCCCTCAGCTCCCTCCACGCTTTAAACATGAACATCTCTGCTGAGAATATAAAAGATGGAACAACCATCCACACGTTTTCCTGACAGCACATTCCCTCTGGTGGTTTGGTTGGTTTTGTTTGTTTACAAAGAAAAAAAAAAGCCACTTCTGTTGCTGCTCCACTTCAGCCACTAGTTTTTGTTTATTAACTTACTCAGATTCCTCCCTCCCCACCAAATTACATTTCTTATTCCCATTTTAGAGGCCCATGTTCCATGGATGAATTAGCTGATTAAAATAATGATGAGACAAACGTGGCAGAGGCTGGCGCTGTACAACACGGTTCAGGATAATTTTCTTTTTCCCTAAGCAGAACACTAGGAAGAGATGCTGACTTTTATCAGGATCTTTGTGACAGCTGTGCTTTTTTTTGGAGGGGAGGATGAAATGAGACTCAGCTCACAGTAGGAAATGGTATGTCGTAACCAAATCAGCTTATACTGTTGAAACACTCACAACCACCAACTAATAATCATTTAGCAGGAAATCCTGTAACAGCATCCACAGTCACAGGACTGCCACCTGCCACATTACTTTCTCCTGTTGAGCCCCGAACAACAGAATAGTTTGGGAGCCATGAATGCCCCTTGACCTTTCTAAACCCTTTTGCTATTCACTCTGCCAAATTAGCCCTGTAAGAGGCTGCTGTTATTTTTTTTCCACGAGTCTATGCTCCCCGCTGCTGCCAGCCCACTAGCACATTCCCCTTGACACAACCACACACAGCAAATCAAGACAGCGAGCAGAAATTGCCATCCACTTCATTAATTCCTCATTTTCCTCACCCGCTGAACTGTTAACAGCATTGCACGCTTTACGCAGAGATATGAATTCACGTGGATGCAAACGGACACGACTACTGGTCAGTTCCAAAATCTGCCTGGGGACTTCAGCTTGAGCCCCCAGCACGCTTCATGGTGTGTGAGCCTGTGCCAATCCCAAGAGCATTTCTCAGTCAAGATTTAATCATTAAACATTCACTCTTCAGTCTTTGGAAAGCTGTCCAAAAAAAAAGCCTTTTTAATCTTTTTGAAAAGGAGTGCTACTCAAATTTCAAACGGGACACAAGGCAGCACTTCTCTTCAAATCAGCCAAGATTTATGCTGAGGATTCATATTTTACGGAACACATGTTTTGGCTGATAAAAGCATGAATCATGTGCATCAGCCTCAGCACTGCAAATACAGCAGTAAAACACCAGGGGAAATGCAAATACAGCAGTAAAACACCAGGGGAAACACTGCTCCTCAACCCAACTGCCTCAGCACAAGCAAGAGCAGCTCCGCAGGTTCTTTTGCTCCCAGCACTCAGCACGGCCTGTCAGGCAGACCTGCAGGTTACCCTTCCAATCCAGAGCACAGCATTTACAATAATCAGAGAGTGGGCTGCATTTTGGCCAGAGCAAGTGATGGGTGCACAGAGCCCTCCCCTCTCTGGCCCCCCGAACTCACGCAGGACCCCCCCACTCAATCCTTCAACACCACACGAACACAGGCAATCGTACAGCACAGCTGCAAGGGTACCAGGGGAAAGAATGTAGTTTTTTAAATGCCATTTCTTAAAACTACTTCTTCCTTGTAAGGAAAGCAGCCTGTAAGTAAACGCTTGCAATATAACAGGTACCCAACAGCACACCCAGTAGTCCTCCTGTAAGACAGGCACCAAGGCTGTTGTCTTTTCACTCTTACAATACAAATTCTAGTTGCAAAAAAATTATCTTTACCGTCTTTACAACCAAAAAAGGACTAAGAGTCCAGCAGGACCTGCACAGTCACCAGAAGTTCACCATCGTCAATGAGGCTTGCAGCAAGGTACACTGAAAAATTGACATACGCTCTTCTGTTTAACAACCGCATCATAAACTCGTGATGCCAAGATCAGTCAGGCTGCGCCGCTGCACTTCCAGGGCTCTGCACCAGAACTGAGCTCTCCTGCAGCGCAGACTTCGCTTTCAGCCAGTTCTGGTTGGTTCCAAGTGTACAACGTACTCAGGAAAACCCAAATGCTCATGAAATGCTACAGGTTCTTTTGTACACAGATAAAATCAAGTTCCTATGCTCTTTCCCCATGATACTCCTGAACTGTTTCTGCAAATACTGTTTTACTGGATGATAACATACTACTTGTATGGTAGTGCTACGCCATTTCTATCATGCCAAAATTTAGACACTAAGGTTTCCGTTAGCCAAAAGTTTAAGTTAATGAAATAGCAGTTTGCTCTTTGTCTTCTTATAAGTCTGTATCAGACAGTTTCTGCTGTTTGGCAGAAAGCAACTGAGAGGGTTCCCCCCCTCCACCCCTTCTGAACTGATTTACAAAAATTGTGAAGAAAATGACTTCAATAATTTAATGGAACAATCTGATTGTAGAAGTTATCATCACTTTTTCCAGATTGATTTATTTGTAAAGAGAAGAAAATTATCCAGCTTAAAACATTTTTTATACTATTTACTTTTACGATACACCTCCTGTTTATAAAGGATGTATCCCATCAGAGTGAAAAATAAATATAAGTTTCTGCTGCTGAGAATGCAGGTACTGATGAGCAACACTGAACCCAATACTGAAACCAGCCAAGGAAAGCAAGGTGAACCGACGAGATGCACATTCTGAACTAAAAAGGTTTATTCGACCCAGAAAACATCACCAAGTAATATCGTCCGACACCACATCATATAATTATAAAGTGTAATGAACAAAACTGATTCCCAATACACTGAAATGAAATAAACCTCTGAACAGGGTAGAGCTGTCCCATACGGCTGGATGTTACGGAAAGGACTCTGGCACAGAAAATTTATACCCTGACTACTGTTGGTACATTTTCCATCCCTGGATATGCAGGAAATGAATGCGCCTGGCTAATTTCCTGGAGCAATTGGTTTACTCGGTGATGCCTGAAATTAGATCAACTTGGGCTCACATAACAAGTATCAATAGTTATAAAACTGTTCCACTTTTAGCAAACTGAAAAAAACCTCAACGACTTACTTCAGTTGTGCAGCGCAACAGCCCCAGTGAGGACGCTGGGGTGACGAGTGGACGCAGAAGCAGAGCGGCTTCCCAGGCCCTCCTGCACCTCCTGCCCACCTGTGCCAGGAGCCTGCGGCTCACAGCAAATAAAGCGTCACTCCCAGCCAGCAGGAGAAAGCTGCCATTTAATTGTGTTTTAAAAGAAGCAATGGTCAAGTGAAGGCACTTTCCAACAGCTCTAACTAGTGTGCACGAGATGATGGGAAACCTGTTTCCAAAAATCCTGTGATCTCCAAGACAGAGAGAGGACAACGGGTTGATTGGGGACGGCCCCTGGATCGCGTGTTGCAGACCAACCAGCACAACACGCCTGATTACAGCCAAGTTTTTCAAGATCTGCTCCATCACAAACCAACAGCCCCAGCTCCAGGGGCTCCTTTCACACTTCCACCTTCCTCATTAACGGGCAGAGCAGCTACGAAAGGGGCTCCTTCCACACCCACCTCCTGCAGATCACCACCGCTGGCCCTGGCACTGCTCTTCCTCGTGGACCTGGCACTGCTACGCCAACAGTTGGACTCAGTGACCTTAAAGGCCTTTTCCAACCTAAACAGACCTACAGCTCCATATTCACAGCCCCCCAAGGTTACGGCACTCCTTATCAACCGACCTGCAGCAGTACAAGGCAGCAATCAAACACTTGTTAAACGACATCACAAAACTAGTTCCAAACACAGTTTCACCTTGTAAGAGGCACACGCCACAATTCCGTGCTGAAAGCAAAGCCGGGGTATTACCTGTTATGACGTTAATGTCGGGGTACTGGCTTTCACAGAGAACAACAGACTTGCTGTCCCGCTCAAACGCCTCTCGAAGCTCTTTCTTAACCGCCGCGGAGCCACATAACCGGTACAGGCCCACCACCTAGAAGCAAAAACAACAGCCCCCATCAGCCATCGCACTGCAGAGGGAGCTAATAACTGACTGTACCATGTGTTGCCTCACCCAGGAAGCAGGAAAAAACCGACCGTTTGGAAACATATGCTAAGGAACTCGGACCGGTGCAAACCGTGACCATCCAGTGGTCACACAGGGCATGGAACTGGCCGCACGAGACACAGCTGGGATGGAGGCACTAAGGGAGTAACTCTAGGGAAGAGGCTGAGCAGGATTTCATTGTCAGAAGCTCAGTTTTAAATACAGACAAAACATCTATTCTTACCCTGCTCATTCAGATCACCATTATTTTTTGTAGTATGACTGTTTAATTATTTAAGATAGAACAGGAAATTCAGCAGAAATAAATGAGGAGAATAAGCATTTTTGAGCTTCATCTATCCAGAGTTACAGTATACCAAAATACAGTTATTAATCATTAGCAGGAAAAAAAAGCAGTCATACAACTACCTTCTAAAAAAAAAATGAGAAATGCTATAAACCAATTAAAAACAAACAAACAAAATAAACCAAAACATTTTTCCTACAAAATTAACTTATATAGCAAACAAAATTTAAATTTTATTTTATATCAGTAACTAGAGTTTCAAGAAAATTATCAATACTCCATTATTACACCTATAATATGCTGCTCTAAAGATGACAAGATGATGACTTCTTCATGTTTCAAATTATATGAAAATCTTCGTGCAAAACACAGGCTATTTAACATGCTCGAGGTGACAGGAAAGAAACCCACATCACTCTTGGCCCAAACTACTAGTTAGACCATGTGCTTTCATGCACTTAAATTTTGCATTTTATCATTACTTACTTTTGTTTTTCATCAACACCATTTATACATTTATAGATCTTAAAGAACCAGATCTTAAACATATTTATTTTATTTTAATGAACTTTATAGGTGGCTATAGTGAGCAGTAAATGGTTAGTCCAAAACTACCACGGCCTCGAAAGGCAGAAAAAACCCAAACAAAATATTACTTGGACCGTTCAAATCTAGGCTTCCAAACAAGAGTATTTGTCTGGCCATATATTAACTTATGTTTAAATAAATGGAAAGTCACTCAATTGAATTTCCTCTCTCTTTACCAAGGATAAAGAGAAAACTGGTAAAAAGAGAATACTCTCTCTTTACTAAGACTGAGTAAGATCTGGGATTTGGCTCAGAAAATTTCCTTTAAACTTTTAAAATTTTCTAATGCCACAGTGGAAATTCACGTGGACGTAACACACCATGACAGCAGTCTGCAGTCTATAGGAAGGTCAAAAATGTCAGAAAATCACGTGGTTAAAACAAGAAGTTAACAGTATATTTTGCATTTTTGGTTCTCCCTGTGCAAATACCCAAATTAGATTTCACGCTCAGAAGCACCAGGTACATTCAGACAATGCAGACTCCAGTCGCTTCATTACCAGTGTTGCCTTGATTACCCAATGTCATTTGCATGACTAGGTGCTAATAAGCCCAAAATAAAACGCTGAAACCATGCGACACATACACTGGAAAGAATAAAACTCCCCTTTTCGACTGATATGCATGATGTTAAGGGAAGTATTCACGGTAAGAATCAATCAGTTATAACCAGCAGCGACTTTCAGCAAAGTACACAGAAGTACCATTTCTCTCGCTGTATTTTATGAGCTGTTACAAAGAGCAGAGTTAGTCTCACAACACCTGGAACCACATCCAACCTGTCAACAAGCTAAAACAGTAACAGTGGTAGGTGTGATCTCTTCTCAATTTCACCTGAGCAAGAACAGGTGTAAAAGAGCCTGAGGGCTCCCACGCGCTGTGGAACAGCCGGCAAGTCCTCCCACCAGTGTCAGATGAACTGCCAAGGGGCACGCCTGACCTTAGGACGGTGCTAGCCCGTCCCAGCAGGCCTCTTGTCTAGCATTTGTGACGGGGGATGTGTTTCCACACCTCAGTTTCCCAGACACAGTTCTGTCCGTCAGGTTACATCAACCAATGAACCCTATTGGGATGAAGAGAAGACACTGGGCACTGCTGCTTTACAGCATTCACCTTGTCCTGATTTTGAAAACAACCTGAAGAAAGGCGAGGAGCAGTGGTGTGGGGAAGCAACTCATTCAGCCCCTCAGGGACTCTTCCTCATCTTAATGCTGCACCCAAGGTGATGGCAGAGACGAGTCTTTGGCTTGTGACTGCACACACCTGAGTAAAGTTCTGACAAAAGACCGGTCCTCAGCACTCTGTGTCACTGCACGTGATGGCTCCGCTCTGGATAAGAGGGAACATTACACTCGTTTTTGCATTGAGGTACACACCTTTACAGAGTGATCTCAGTCTCAGGAGTCAAGCATTTTCAAGTTCTCTCCTCGGCTTTGCTTTTCCAGGGCAACCCTACCTGCTGGGGTTCGCAGGTTCATGTCACTATCCCCAGTCCTAAAGCACTGCTGACAGCAAGCACATACCTCTTCTACAGAGGCCAAGATGGAAGCACTGATTTCACACAGTCTTGTTATTCTTTCCACATTACAACGACTAGTGTTCAACAAACCAAAGCAGCAAAGCAAAAATAAAAATAAAAATACCAAAACCCCCACAAAACGAAACCAAACGTGTAAAGCTGTTTTCAATTTCCCCTTTCTCTCTTACTGCTCCTACCCTGCAACAACAGCTATCCCAGCACAGAAATATTAACAAAACTGATTAAAACGTGCACAGTACCTGGCAGCCTCTCTTTTCAATCTCCAAAATGCATTTCTGCATCAAAAGCGGCACCATCAAACCCGCATTTTCCTTCTCTACAACTTTTCGAGCATCTACCCCGAACATCACCGGCTCCCGATCTGCATCGAGGCCATCGAGAGAGTTCTCCCATTGCTCCATGAGCGACAGCTTGACATAAATAAGCCCCCTCGGTTCCAGTTTGACAGCCAGCTGATGTGTCTTGGTCACTCGGAAGAGAGTGGGAAGAGCCACAGTTCCATGACAACACACCCGATTTTTCCGCGGGGTGGGCTCCCAGCTGAACACCACCAGCTTTAAGTGCTGAGCATTTTCAATTTCTATGTTGAACGTGTGGTCCATGTCTAGAAACGTTGTCCTACATGTAAGCAGGGCTGTTCTTGCTTTGTTTACTGAGTCAACCTGTATTGCACAAAAGACATCTTTTGAGTCTATTTTTGGTGGCTTTAAGTCTTCAGCACCATAAAAGTGAATGCTCATGAGTCCAGAGATGTACTGAGAGCACTTGGGTTGATCAGAAAAGTTGTAGTGTCTGAAGGCATCGATATCTATTTCGGTTTTACCGCTGTTACTTGGGAGGCTTTCCTTTCCTTTCCCACACTTGCTTTCATGACCATGTTTACCTGATTTTGCTATAAGTTCAGGAGAGTCGCCGTCGCTGAGGTAACCACCTTTGCTGAAAGATTTGGAGCTCTTTGAGCTTTTCTTTTTGTAGGTGTGTTGTGACGACACGCTGCTGTCGAGATGGTAACGACTTATGACGTTTCTGCTGGCAGTGGTGGTTGAGTTTCCATCCCACACTTGCTTTCATGACCATGTTTACCTGATTTTGCTATAAGTTCAGGAGAGTCGCCGTCGCTGAGGTAACCACCTTTGCTGAAAGATTTGGAGCTCTTTGAGCTTTTCTTTTTGTAGGTGTGTTGTGACGACACGCTGCTGTCGAGATGGTAACGACTTATGACGTTTCTGCTGGCAGTGGTGGTTGAGTTTCCAGAAGACGGCAAAGACACTGTATGGCTTGTATCCCGGCAGCTCCCTTTCGGCAGGGAAGGAGGATTACCTGAGCTACTATGGCTTGAAGTTCCCTTGACACTCAGCTTCCTGCTAAGCTCTGGCAGCTTTTTCATCTTCATGGAAAGCTTCCTCACAGTCCTGGGAGATTTAATTCTATCAGGAAAAGGCCAGTTGATTGATCCACTTTTTTTCAAAGGACTGGGACTTGGAGGAGAAACTTCTGTTGAGGGTATATCAGCCTTGTGTGCAAGTAGAACTCCGGACCCTTTAAAAGAAAAAAGAAGAAATAATAATTTTCAAACCATCCAGTAACTGCAGTTTGCTGCAACGAGAGAATAAATCTTGAACTGGGGGAAAATGCATCAATTTGCCATAACTTGATAAATGCAATTCACTCAGACAACCGTTATTCATCAGTCAGATGTCCACAAGCACTCAGAGAGTCGTGCTCTGCTGGCTTATTCAACCAAATTTGGCAGTTCATAGTCAAGAGCCAGATTTGTTCTGCTTTATGGAGATGAAAGGGCCAGAAACTACATAGAAGCAAAGGAGCAATCTCACCCGCTGCATTCAGCTCGATCTGTTTGTGCTGTGTCCCCCACACAAGCAGACGTGGCCGCATTCCTGGGGCACAGGTGCAACGAAACCAGCCTTGAATGGGAAAACACGGAATATGGCAAACGGACCCTTGCCTAGCACGCAGCTGGCTACAGAGCCAACACATCTGTGCTGCCCGCTCCTCTTAGGTCTGGAGGAAAGACACTCGTCTCTAAGTCAAGACTACGGCTGTACTCTTGTGCGTGTCTCTCTTACCCCAAAGAGCCTTAAATCCCTCCTGTGTAGACACAGGCAGTGCCTTACACCTTCCCTTCCTTTTCTCTCAGCTCCTCCTCCCCACCACAGGACAGAGGAGGGGGAACACAACACGGATTTAACCAAAGCTGCATTCTACACTGCCTCATTCCTGCCAGCAACTTCCCATCCTTCTTGGTACAACCACCCCATGACAGGGCTTAAAGATACACAGTGCCCAAGTGACGTCCCCAGGGAAAATCACCCACCTTTCAAGGTAAAAAAACCCTAAAAACGTACCAGCAGGTGCTGATGCTAAAGAGGGAAAAAGAAAAAGAAAAAATTACAGTCCCTCAGTTTAGCAGTAAAGGACAACTGACCAGGGAACACGACCAGGTGGAAGCCAGCACAGCACAGTCAGGAACCTGCAGTTTACCTCATGCTCAAGGAAAATCCAAACACCAAGTTACAGCTCAAGCTGTTCTCACTTTCACCAGCATGAGGCAGTAAGGACTGTTGGAAAGGCAATGAATTTACACCAGTTAAGGCAGCATGCAAGAGGGGAACCGAGGCCAGAATGACAGATATTAATAAAATTACATGACTGCTTTCATTTTGAGTCACTTTTATATCCCTTGAGAAATTAATAGAGGTTCTTGCTAGCAATAACCACCTCGTTCACTCATCACTTTACGAATTTTAGCAGCTCCCAAGAGGACCCGTGTAGGCTTGGGTGCTACGGAGCCCCTCAGCACGCTAACCCTGCGCGGTGCCAGCAGCCCGAGCTGCTCCCAGGGGCTCAGATGCCTGTAGCCAGCTGTGACCCCCCTTGCTAGCCAGGGAAAGGAGGAGTCTGTTTACAGTATATAAAAAGAAAGAAAGAAGTGTTGTTTTCATGAGATACTCAGGAAATCATATCTTACAGAGGTTTCTCTCCCAGGTTTCTCAGAGGCGTACTGCTTCAGTTCTAAACTAAGCGCTTCAGGTCCAAATCACCCTGCGGCTAGTGACTTTCACAAGTCCCATGTTCATCCAAATTAGTTTTCACCATTTAACTATAACTTACTTTTTGTACTTCGCTTAGCTTAAACAGTTAAATCAGACGATTTGGCCTTTGACACCCTCGCCCCCCCCAAACCTTACAAAGACTAGTTCTAGTCCCAGCAGAAGTTTGGCTTTAACAAGTTCCGCAGACAGTTCCCTAAAAGCGTATCTTTATGAAAGAAAGTTTCAGATACAAAGAATAACTCATAGAGCCTGTTTTCCAGAGCAACAGAGGAAAATTCATTTAGCCCTGCATCTCATGGAAGTAGCTCCCTCGCAGGGGAAGGGCTATTTCTAGCACGCCTGCTGTGCTTTTCTGGCAAGCAGCTCGTTAGAAATGTGGTGTTTGATAAAAGCGGACAAAGCCTTCCCTTGTACTGCAAATCGCAGCGCGGTCCCACTGGTGGGCTGGCCTGGGGCGCTGCGCAGCCATCGGTGCCACGCTGCAGCCCGCTAACATCAATCTTCCCGCTCTGTCAGAAGCCCCTGGCACGGGCTTGGAAAAGCAGGCCAGCAAATTAAACTTCCCTCCCCCAGCTCATTAAAACCAAAGAGTCAATCTACCACTCCGATTTTTCCATGTCCGACTTCTGCTGCGTTCAGCACCAAACAGTTAAAATGAAATATGCGGCTGGAAGAAACTTAACAGTCGAGTATTATGCGGGACGGTATTCCCAGCAGCGCTGAGCCACATGTTGTTCCACTAAAGCCAGCAATGTGCTGAGGTACGCACGCGATTTTAAAGAGTGAACGGGACACAGCTCTGCACAAGCTGCAAAAGGAACACTGCGCTCCCCAGCCTCCTCACACGGGTGCACCCCGTTCCTGTCACCAGGGTACGGGGCTGAGCTGCAAACGGGCCCCTCACTGCCCCTGTCCCCACTGGCTCTGCCACTGCACATCCCATCTCAGGAGTTCAACTTGAAAAACATCCTTCTGGAGGAGGGGAGGAGAAGATGAAACAGAAGAGTGCTAAAGGACTACGGGGGCAGGGAGGTGATGGTCAGTGCATGCAGCTGACTACACAGATACGTGTGTACATGCATATTAATTTTTTACAATGAGAACACTCAATCACTGGAATATCGTTCCCAGGGACATGGCAGAGTCCCCATCACTGGGGGCTTTCAAGATGCAATTGGACAGGGTGCCAGGTAACCTCATCTGGGCTCCCCTTCCCACCAAAGGGTGGACCAGATGATCTTCTGAGGTCCTTTCCAACCTGGGCTGCTCTGTCTTTACTACATGTATCTTACGCTTTCCATAAACTTTAGCAGTACGAGTGATACAGAAAAAAACCCCAAACTTTTGAAGGAGAGCACAATGCAAGTCAAAGTGACACGACATCATAAGGGACCGCTCCCCCATCAGCTATTTGCTCAGCTTGTCTAGTAAAGCCCCCATTTGCTTTGCTCAGCGACACGGCTGTGGGAAACACAGAGCTTTTCTGTGACCACTGAGACACAGCTGGAGAGACACGGAGAGCCCACAAGTGCTTCATGATCCCAGGTGCCCTCTCCAAACCCATTCGGGCAGGAGTCCACAGGGCAACCGCTACTGTCCCCTCAGCCAAGCAAGCTGGCTCTGACAACGGTACCCCTACCCGACACTGCCCCAGGGGAAGAGGGGACTCAAACTATATGATTTGGATGCAGGCGAATCACGGTTTTGCTTCCTCAGGTAGTTCCAGACCTATTCTGATCTTACACTTCAGAGCAGAACTGCAAATGCCGTTAAGAATTCATGCTACATCAAATTCAAGCAACTTCAGATAAGATTTAAGGAACCGATCCTCTATCCATATCAGTAACTGAGAAAAAAAACCCAAAAGAACATCTTAAAATGGAGACAGAATAGAACTACTTCTATGCAACTTCTTAATTATCTAAATAAATGAAAGAACAACCTCTTTTAACCCGTTAAAAAAAGTCCTTTCCACCCTTGTAAATATTACTACTTTGACCAAAGCAGTCTCCAAGTTCTCTCCCACATAATGCTTCAGAATCAAGGAATGGAGAAATTATTTTAAAAAAAACCAAAACAAATCTCCAAGAACTCTGTGAAGGTAGCTTCCTTCAAATACTATGTACACTGACATTAATTAAGCTGTGATAAATCCCTCAACCCAGGGATCACTTCTACAGGAGCAACAGATATAAAATAAATTGCTTTAAACAGTCCATTAATTAAAATGGAAAGTGATTACAGCATAACCCCCTGAGGCTCATGCACACCGAGAGGTGAACAGGCTGGTCCCTGCCTGCTTTTTATCACGGCTGCGATCCTCGGAGCATCCTTGACAGCGGTGTCTCATTAGGGAGAGCAGCAAGGACGTGTAACAGCACTTTCGATCTCTGACCAGACTTAAAGAGCTCGTATAAGCAAGCATGAGTTCGCTGCAAATATTTCAAACATTAGCATCCTCGTGATGTGCGTCAGCCACGGTCGGCTCGGTGCGACGGCAGCGTCCAAATACAGACGCAAGCGGCAGCACCGCGGCCGCCGCCGAGCGCTGTCCCTTTGGACTGCTCTGACGGAGATCTCCTCCCTTCGCTGCGTCTCTCATGGCACGAAAAGCAGCCTCGCCCCTATTTCCCCAAGTCAGAGAATACAAACAGTCAGTCGGCACAAATCAGAAACTGGAATAGGTATTAGCTATTCTAAATTAACTGCTGCCATTCCACAGCCGCTACATCCTTTGGCCTCTTTCACCAGCAGGTCTCTAGGTCATTGTCACCCACATACAGGCAGAATAAGCCCTCGACCTTCCAAAGCCCACGCACAGACTCCCCAGAAGCCCACCGACAAACTGGCTTCAACTCTGCAGGGGGGAGAGTGAGCAGAAGGACCTTTCTGCCACGCACCAAACCACGCTGGCATCTCAAACATCACGCAAATACGTCACATGAACGCTTTTCTACCTCGTGGAACCAAAGCTCCTCGCACTTGAACAGCTAAATCACAAGGCATCTTCCAGCCAGGCAAAATAATACACATTAAGCAAGTATTTGCAATTAGTAGATAGGATTTGCTGCCCAGCAGACTCTGTGGATACCGCTGGGACCTTCTAAGCATGTAAAACATTTGACTGCACTGGCCTCAAAAAACGTGTTTGGAAACCAGGACAGTGGTCACAGCCCAAGAGAGGGAGGAGCACTGCAGCTTTAATGGGATTTAACCCAAGCTCCGGTTAGCATGTACTGGGGTTAAGTGGAAACATGGCATCGACCTTCACTTCCTATAATGAAAAGAAATCTGTTTACAGTGATGCCTACCAGGGTTTTCCATCCAGACAGCTCACACACGTAGATTTTCAGTAGTAAAAGTACAGTCCAGATCCTGGTACCTACCAATGCACAAGGGCCATCAGCATGTCTCTGAGGTACGGACACGTGTGAGGTGATTCCACTGATTAGGTTAAGGTGGACATTAATCCCAACAGCAATCCTCCCCAAAAGCAAAAATACTACAAATTCCTCAGAAGGCACTATTCAGAGCTCCACAATACAGATCTATTGCAGGAGCTGACATTTTAAAAGGGTGTTTTTCTTCAACATCTATAAATACATACAGTTAGAGTCCAATCCTAGACAGTAAAGAAAACTTACCTCAACATTTTATATTTGAAAAAAAAACACAGAGAATTTTTCACGTTGCATTTATAACAAAAAAAAAATTCTATTTTCCAGTCATATCCATTTGGCCTGTGCAAGGAGACATCAATTCAAAACCAGCCTCCAGGGTCCTTTCCACTTAAGCTCTTCTCCCACAGACCTAAAGGCACGAGCCAGCGCTATGTTCCTGCTTCAATCATCTTCTTACTCTTGCCTTTTGTGTACTTGCTATAAACAAAATACATTAATTATCTTCTCAAGCTTTGCTGTAGAGGCACCTTATTTTTAATAAATTCTTTTTTAAAAGCCAGCATGGCTAGAATTATTCGCTAAGGAATTACCTGACAAATCCTATTAACATAAATGCCATTTACTGTAGAAAGTAACGAGCTTAACACCAGGAACTAAGGGTGTAAATTAAGACTGTGGGGCAAATTAGCACCTCTACAACTATGATCCATTTTACTGATAACATTTAAAAGAAATATCTATTTGCTGCTGTGTTTGGAAACACTCCGAATAACCAAATTCTAACATTTATTTTTTCTTAATCTTCTGTCTAAAAAAGACCCTCTAAAAAAAAAAACACTAAAAGAAAAAAATCCACAAGTATGTTCTCTCTACAAAATTGGAAATCCAAATCAGGCAGCAACATTTAAAGTTTTAAAGCTCAAATTGATTCCACTATCCAAAGAAGAAGAAAAAAGCAAATGACAAAATTGCAGACTCTAATGCTAAGCAATACTGCCATATACAAAACCATCTCAATAAGAAAGGTAAGCAGATCTTTTTCTCAAAGCAGAAAACGTTAATTTGTCAGGAGTTACTGCTTACTGCACCGAGCTCTCTAGTAATATAGACTTCTACTTCATAGCAGTTGTATAATTCAAACAAGGTTCTAACACAAATAAAGTTAAATTGGCCATGTTGCCCTTCATGGAGCAATTTTGTATGGATGAGCTGTCATTTTAAATTTGACTGAAAATAGCTGTAGCTACCTTAACTGGATTAAACAGAAGAACTAAGCCACTTCTCCATAGTAAAGCCAATTACTGAGCAGCAGGGATCCACTTCACCATCAATTAATCTATTCAATGTGATCACTATTCGATACATGCAAAAGGAGAGCTGCATTTAAAGCACCTTAATTGACTCAATGCATAACAAACCAATCAGTGGAAATGTGTAACACTTTTCTCCTAGTTTCATGTGACACTTTTTAAATGGGAAATTTTGCTTTCAGAAATAGATGTTTCTTCAGTATGAAAATAACTGACTTTGCTCTTCTTACATAAAAGGATTTTTTTTTTTTAAAAAAGAAAAAAAGTCACCTATATTTTGGGAGACTAACCACCCAAAAGGGAGTCAAACAGTTCGCAGGACACACATGCACGGCTTTTCCAAATAACCACGCTTACCGACCTCTCCAAGCTGCCTAGAGCCCTGACGCTGACAATGTACCTAAGAACATGGTATTTCATCTGTCTTGCAAGCAAATATATCTGGTCTAAGTACTCGATGCAGCCATAAACTGAGCTATTGCTAAATAAACGCCAGATAACTTTAACATACGTCGCAACTAAAAATATGCTCGGATCTGCAGCATTTCCACAAAAAGAACAAAATGTGAGCTCCTAGAAGAGAAGCTGCAGTGTTTTTTCTTCCACTGTTTACAGCAGTTGCTCTGGTGCCTTTGAAAACAAGCCCCGTTCCCAGAAGTGACCTCCGCGCTGGGAATCCCGGCACAGCAGCTCCTGGGACGCGGGGACATGAGCCCGCCAAGCTGGCCAGGACAGCTCGGACGAGGGGAGCTCCGGAGGCAATCCACACCCCAGCGCTGGCGTCTCGGGTCCTCTCTGCTGAGCCGGGTACAAATACAGGCTCTTAAGTGTCTGTGCCAGAAAAGCGTGAGCTTTCTCCAAAGCAGGGAACCTGGAGTTCCCTGTCTCCTGAACCTTATGCTGTTTCTAACTCTCAGAAGCATGCTACAGCTCAAGTCAAGATAATATCACACAGGTAATTAAAAATAATACCTCTTTCTGAAGGGACTGAGGGTTTTTTTCTGCTTACTTTTTTGTGGTGTAGTTTTATTTTTGTTTGGGATTTTTTTAAAAGACTGGGAAAAAATCTTGAACACGATACTGATTTCACATACTAATGGAATTATGGAAATGAGACTACCAAACACTCAGCCAAAGATAACAAAGAGGCTGGCTTCTGAAAGTGAAAACCACTCCTCTCCAGTCTATTAGATTAGCCTGAGACAGTCAAGTAGACAGCAATTACAGAAAGCGACGTGATGAATAGCATTTATATGGTCTTCCAGAAAGTCTTTATTAAAAAGTCCCAGACAGTAAGTTAAAGCAACTTCTGCAGACATTAAGTAGCTTTGAGGCTGGAATCCAAGGCTGGACAAAGAAAACCCACGGTGCCAGGCTCCAGCAGGCTCACTCTGTGAAGCCTTGGTCTTCAGCGAGGTGGGGGCCAAAGCGCAGAGAGGACCAACCACACTCAGATATGCCACGAACAACCTGACTGAGAAACAACCGTGCAGCTCCACATTTAGAAGGTACCAGGCTCAGAATTGGCATCTTTTTTTTTTAAAGAACTTGACATGCGTTTCTACCAGAACTTTGCTTGATCAAGATAAAAAGAGGAGAAAAAGAAAGACATAAGGATTTATTAATACTCTGAAAGAAAGCAGAGGACATAACACTTACGTTCCTGAACCCTCTTACCTGTTGACGGGCACTTGAGGGCAGGATTGTCCTGTACCGCTGGCACACCAGGAGCCTTGTAGGCAAACCTCTGCCGGTGCTGCTGCACGAGCTCCCCAAGGTGTGCGGCATCGGCCTGACCCGCTTCGCTGGGCTGAGCCAGCCGACTGCTCCCCACGCTCTCCACGGAGCAAGGGGGATCCTCACGGGGACTCGTGGCCACCCCAGAGTCACCCCCAGTGGGCATTTTGTACCGAACTGACGGGGAGCCTGCAGCACCGGGGCTATTCACAGCAGGAGGGCGAACCCTCAGCAAGTCAGGCTCGTCATCTTCAGGGATCGGGTTGTACCATATTTCTCCTTCATCATCCGCATCATTGTCCTCACCAAAGTCCACCGTGGGGCTGGCAGTGCTTGGCAGGGCACCCGCAGGAGCGCGGCTCTGCCCAGGGTGCTCCCGCCCCGCCGGTGATCTGGAAGGAGCCCACGGCACTGCTGGTTCAGGCAGCGGGATGGAAGATTTCGGTACCAGGAAAACAGCCCTGTGCGTTTCCTTACAGGCATTTTCTTCTTCCAGAGGAGGAGGAGGAGGAGGAGGAGGCGGAAGAGGAGGTCGGTGGGTGCTCTGCTGCAGCCAGCTGCGCTTCTTGGAAACAGTAATGCTGTTCACCTGCGGCCTGTGCTCGGGGACCTCGCTGGCCTGGGGGCACCTGGGTCCCTTCCTGCTTCTCGAAGCTATGTAAACATTTTCTATTAAATCTGTCCCCAGGAATAAAAACAAAAAAGAGAAAGACAAATATTTAGAATATCATTTTGCTTTCGACAGATCAGCACATATGCTGTTGTATTACCTCTGCATTAGACCTCAACTGAAAGGACAGAAGATAAGTTGATGTGATCATAAAATTAGATTTCAGCCTGTCAAAGCAGAATTGCACGTAATTAATAAAGAGCCAGGCTTGTTTGACTGTATTTTTAACACCATGCAATTTAGGTAAATGGCAGTGAGACAGCTCTGCTGAAAGGTCACGCATACTTACATAGAAATGGATGGGGTTTTTTCTGCCAAGTTCACATATAATTGGTTTGAGAAGTAGCTATGCAATACTTCTCCAGTTCACTTATGCCAATGAAGAAACAGCCTCTGGTTTTGGTGTAACGTACTGTTTAAACAGCAACGAAAGACCCACATAGATTCACAGTTAGGTTTATAAATATATCTAAAGGTGAGGATATGTCTTGCACAAAAACCTCCAGAAAGGACTGGCCTTACCAGCTTTATCCTAATAACTAAGACAAAAGCTTCCCCCAAGTTGTGGGGAATAAAACAAAACACACCGTCCCGAAAGGAATGAAGGCGGAAGAAGGAATGCAGAGAAGATTTTAATATCTCGTTACACAACAAAAGCTTCATGCAACACCTTACCAAATTCCACTGACTGCTCCCAAAACTTGATGAATTTCTTTAACATAATGGCCAAACACTTAACTATGCATCCAAAACATCCACCTGCACTTGAGCCCCACGTCAGAGAGCACCGGGGCACCCCGTGGGCAGCAGTGCCGCACCCCAGGGGCTGCTGGGCACCGTGACCTGGGGCCACGCAAGGAGTGAGCAGCTCGCCCCCTGGCCGTTTTGCTAGGGCTGGCAGAAAAGGCACAAATGCAACCAAATTAAAAAGAGGGATCGGAGGTCAGATAACCCTCACACTCCTCTGCTGCGGGGGACAACCCGGACGTGGTTTGCTGAGCCACTGAGACTGAATGGGAATAACTGCATTCTCATAGAACAGACAACCTGTTTTCACACGAAGCCCTCTGCAATTGGAAATTCCAGGCTGAAGCAGCTATTTGATGCTGCTTGAACATTATTCTCAGCAAAAAATTATTTACACACCAATAATGATGTTAAAATATGGACACCTCTCTGGAGGACTCGAGGAGAAGCTCTGTGAATCCAGCTAAGTTCACTGTAGACAGGAGAAAGACTGTCACCTGAACGCCTTCTCTTCAGCCTGCTTTTTTAGGTTTGTACATTAATGACAGAAGAGATCCTTGATAAGATCTGAAACATCACTATTTTGGTTGGCAGATGATTCATCACTTGGTGATTTAATTTTTTTTTAAAGTGAGGCTCACCTGTTTAGCTAAACTGCAATATGAACACTGTGACTTTTTAGAATTAACTTGGTTGAAAGAATCAACAAAATTAACCATGCTCGTTTTGAAGACCATGCACATCTCCACAGAAGTGCTTTGCTGCACTGGGACCTAAATCGACCAGTTATCAGAATCTGAGAAAAATGTGTGAGCAAGGCTAAGGATGCAAACCTCTGGCAAAATTTCAGTGGTTTGGCTGCAACCATGTTCTTTCTCCCATCCACAGCCTAGAAACGTAAGTGTGCTACTGTAAAGGTTCCCCTTTACACAATTTCATTAGTATTTCAAGCAAGAACTAACCAGAAGCCCAAGGAACTCCTGTGCAGCGGGCACAGGGCCATGTCTACAATTCCAAGAAGTCAGTTTGGATCAGGGACTCCTTGGGCTGGCGATGAGTGCCTGGAAGCCCTCCACTCCTACAACGGAGAGCCCAGGGAGCGGCCCCTGCTCTGGTGACATAAATAGATAGATGGTGCATCCACAAACAAAAATATCTGCTACTTCCTGCCCCTTCCACGCTGGTTAAGGCAGCCTCCAACTCCCCGAGGAGCACAGCACGCCCCCATCTGCACCCGCTGACACAGCTGGCACCGGCCCCAGGCTGCCCTCCCGGTCCCCGTGGCAGCAAGCACGCAGGGCAAACTCACCTTTGTTTTCAACATCCATCTGGGTGTCTCAGGAACAAACCATCTCCAAAAGCTTACCGCAGAAACATTAATAATCAAGTAGCTCTGGCGCACTCCACTAACCCTGCTGCTTGCAGAGACACGCCAGCTACCTCGCGTATTCAAAACCACCCCGGCTCGGAATCGGCCAGCGTGCTGCCAGAGGTCACCGACTGCAACCGTTCACTGAATCTCATCCAAACGATGCACTGAGCTGGACATCTTCCAGCTGCAGCTTTTGCAACTGACGGGCAATATTTGCAAGCGCTGCTTCCCCTTTAGCTGAGCTTGGCCCTGATCCTGAGAGCCCTTATGCCTCTGTTTATTTTAGTAACAAACTGTTTCACATGCAAGATCTGCACATCCAGTATCACAGAGCAACTTTTTAACGCTGTTAGCTGTTACAGTAACGAGACCATTTTAAATAAATACAAAGCTTTTAGGGATACACAGGTGAGGCAGGCACTATTCATTCCAGAGCAAAGTTTCATTCAAAACCCCCCACTCTCTACTCTCTCTCAGTACTTTAAAATACTTAATATATGCTCAAAACTAGACCAGGCATCCACACAAATATGGAACATGACAGTGGCTCCTTCTCAAAACGTTTCAATACGGGGTATAAGAAGAAGGGGGAACAAAAAAAAAAAAAAGTCAGGTGTTCCCTTCACCTTTCACTCTATCTACCAGAAGAAAAGACAACAAAACAGTATTTAAAGTTAAGCCATAATGGTAACACCAAATTTACGCTCAGAAACTGAAGTGTCGATGTTTCAGCTCAACTAAGGTCAAAATTGATCTTCTGCCTCCTGCGCGGGCACATGAACTGTTTGGCCGTGACACCGCGCGGCTCCGCAGCCCGGGAGGAGGGGGAACGGCTCGGACCGGGA